ACTTTCCTGTCATCAGTGTTTTCTCTGTACTGACCTCCTTTGCTTGTCACAGACTGTGGTATACTTGGCACCTAGATGTCACTCAATCTGATGCGTTCAGCCCGCTGATTAAAGTCCTTTACACAGCTGGTGATGGTGGCTGAGGGTTCACGACTTGTCCACGTGGCTTCTGACCCAGTTGCCCCATCAAGATCTTTGCTTGTACAACACCAGTGGGTAAAGTGGATGAGCGGCAGTTATCCAGCTTGGAAGGAGGAATGGTAGTGCCAAGTAGTTCTTTAATGGTGAAGGATTGGGAGTGTTGAGATACAAAGAAACCTGATTTCCTTAACTTTTAGTTGAGGAAAAAAGTTAACATACAGGTGCAACAAGCTGTTAGAAAGGCAAACATTATGTTGGCCTTTATCACAGGAAGATTTGAATATAGAAGCAAAGATGTCTTCAATTGTGTGGCACCTTATTGTAACCGTACTTGGAGCGTCTAGTTGTGGTCCACCAGCTGAAGGAAAGATGGACCTAATGTGGAGAAAGTGTAGTGGAGATTCACCATACTGATTTCTGGGGTTGTGTGGTTGCCCTATCTTGAGAGATCGAGAAGACTGGGCCTGTCTTTTCTGGAATTTAGAAGAAGGAGATGAGGTCTCCTAGAAACATATAATATTTGTACTAATAATATAAACCATCTTTTATTTCATTGGTCTTTACGAGGAATCTTGAAGGTTGAATTATTGTAGTTTTGAAAACCCCTTTGTCCCTCATACTAGCCATTACATCTACTTGGCTACATTGATCTCTACTTAAGCAGATTTGAATTTGCTGATCTTGATGACACATTCTTTACTACTTCCTGATTTTTTTTATTTCTAATCTTTGTCTCCTAACTATAACACTGTCCTAAATAGTCATTTTAGAACATGTATGCATTCTTCAAAATTCACTCTTTTAATGGCTGATTTGTTTGTGCTGTTCTCTTTTTTTGCATGTCCTTGTGGTGATTTCTGTTTAAACCAATGTTTATCAGAGATATTATGACGTTTCTCTTATTCTCCTTATTCTTATTCTCCTTATTCTTATTCTCCTTATTC